GCCTAGAGCATCAATCAAAGGAAAGAAGAGAAAAAAACGAAAGACGAAGGACGACCGTAGTGCTCGCATTAGCAGCAAAAAACATTGCAAAGGTAGCGATTAGCAATACGATTGGTACAACTACCGGTAGCAGGCCGCGGAATAGGAGTCGGAAGGCCCTGCGTGGGTAACGAGGCCCCTTTCTTTTCGGGGGAAGCGGGGGAAGGGTAAGCCGGGGGAGAGGGGGGAGGGGGAGCGGACGGTGAATAAATCTGTTGCATCCATAAATCTCCCAATTTCATCATGGATCTAATCAAGCGAGAGGAGAAAGAGAGGAGAAGGGCATCGTAACAGAGGACAGGGGAGCACGCAGATCAGGCATGCAATGAGGAGCAGAGGCCTGACATCGTTCAATCAATCAACTGAATTGCGCCAGCAATCATGCCGAAGGCGAAGTGCGCGGGAATAGGAGCGGGTGTGATGACAGGGGGGGTGGGGGAGGGGGAAGGAGGGGGGTGAAGCACGCGGATGATTTTTCGGACAAGGAACACGTGCCACCATGGGTGGTGGGCCACCGGAACACGTGCACGCGCGGAGGAGAGGCGCAAGACCCGAGAGCTGACAATAGACTGAAGGGCAGGGCGGAGGGGGGGGGAAGCAGGAGGGAATAAGAGGAAGAAAAGGCGAGAGAGCATTCGCACATACTGGGAAGGCGGGAAGGTGTCGGCACATGCTGAGAGGAACTCTCGAGGGCAGGTGACTTCGCTGCCAAGAAAACATCAAGGCTAGGCGGTCGCATCTACCCGTCTTCCCCCCAATAGAACTTACTGTCATTTTCGCTGCATCTGGACTGACAGTTGGGCCAAATAAAGACAAAATGACCGTACGTTCTATTCGGGGGAAGACTTTAGTCGATGCAGCGAAGCCCGTGCTCAGCTAAGCGCAATTCAAAAAGTCCATCGCTGCTATTTTTCACCCAGAGGGAATTAACACGTCCAAGACAATTCGTGATTGTGATATGATCTCTCTTTTTTTACTTTTGAAGACGATCCCTGTTAGTAAACGGTTCCACGAGAGGTCCATCTGGGAAGAGGTTCTATGGTCCATCTGGGAAGAGCTTTTATTTGCATGGGACTATAAACGTTCTGCACCATCGATCGATCAAGAGGATCGGACGCAAAGCCAGAAACAAAGAGCCCCGATACGTGAGCCCAGCCCTTGGCACCCGCGTGTTGTCATCAAAGTCGAACTCTTCCTACTCAGAGGAGGGAGTCGGAGAAACTAAGACGATGCGAAAAGAAGGAAAAGACAGAGAACTCGACTGCATCGTTGTCGTATTCCTTCATCTCTTTTGCCAATATACTTCCTTACAAGACATCTCTCTTCCTCTAGCTATCTACCGACCGTTGGTCGTTCCAGCATCTATCTAAAAACTGATCATCGGTCGTTCACGCATCTAGCTACTGGTCATCAGTAGTTCCAGCATCCAGCAAGCATCGGTCGTTCCAGCATCCAGCTACCGATCATCGGTAGTTCCAGCATCTAGCTACACCACTTAATCGGTCGTCCCAGCATCGAGATACCGATCATCAGTGGTAAACACAGAAACAAAAGAGTCCCGTTAAGTGGACCCCTGCCAACCCTGTTGTCATCAAAGTCGAACACTTCCTAAGCGGAGGAGGGAGTCGGCGAAACTAAGAAGAAGCCAAAAAGGGAAAAGGACAGAGAACTGAACTGCATCAACATACTCCCTTCCAAGACAGCTCTCTTCGACCACTGGTCGTTCCAGCATGTAAATACTGACCATCAGTCGTTCAAGCATCTAGCTACGGACCATCAGTAGTTCCAGCATCCAACGATCATCGGTCGTTCAGCATCCCGCTACCGATCATCGGTCGTTCCACTATCTAGCCAGCAATCATCGGTCGTTCCAGCATCGTCGAGATACCAATCATCGGTCGTTCCACTATCTAGCCAGCAATCATCGGTCNATCATCGGTCGTTCCAGCATCGTCGAGATACCGATCATCGCTCGTTCCACTATCTAGCCAGCAATCATCGGTCGTTCCAGCATCGTCGAGATACCGATCATCGCTCGTTCCAATATCTAGCCAGCAATCATCGGTCGTTCCAGCATCGTCGAGATACCGATCATCGGTCGTTCCACTATCTGGCCAGCAATCATCGGTCGTTCCAGCATCGTCGAGATACCGATCATCGGTCGCTTTGACTTCGTTTTTTTCTTTCATGACGACGAGGAAGAGAGGGGATAGAGTCCATAAGCGCGGATTCGGACAACAGCTCAAGAGAGAGAATCGTCGGGTGCATGAAGAGCATGGATTCGACCAACTCACCTGACCAATGAGAGGATTGAACAACTTAGACACGGTGAGCGTCAATAAGCCAGTGGCCAGCAAGATTGCCGTGCCCTCGACAATCCGTTTAGTAGCGGGGGAGGCGGGGAATAGCTCGGCTTCAAGGTCTCTCCTCTCGCCCACCCCCCCTCCTGACTGTCTTCCTGCTCTTGACCCTCGTGATTCTCTGCCCCGGGGTTCAAACCACGCCGCCGCTTCGATTACGTCTTGGGTCATGAAGAGATCTGGAAACACAGTCGCACTCCCTCCCGTGGGCGTCTCGCCCATGGTCGAGGCTTGCGCCGAGCCTCGATGGCCCCTCCTCCCTCCTCCCACTCCCGGCGGTCTTCCTCCCCCCCCGCCTCGTCCTTCACCTACTAACCCCCCATCTAACAATCTGCTCCTCTCCTTGATCGCCACCTCCACTCTCCTCAGATCTTCTGTCCTTATGTTTCTTGCCTTCTGGCCGCATATCTCGCACGTCGAAGACGATTTGCTGACGAACCAACGCAACGCGCACGCGTAGTGCGCCATAGCCAATTCATTCTTGCACGCACATCCAAGAATCACAAGCGAGTCTCCTCCGCCACCATCCATGCTCCCATGCTTCTTCCTCCTGCCTTTCTTCGGAGGCATAAGTGCACACCACTCTTCTTCTTCCCGCCCCTCATGACCACGGCCTCTGTCCTCCCTCCCACCCATCTCCTGCTGGCTTTCGGTAGCGCTTCCTTTAGCGCGATGCATCAGCACACCCCTCCCGTTCACCTCGGGATTGCCGATTACGGCGCCTCCCGATGGGCCTCCTCCCCCTCCCCCTCCCCCTCCCGCTGCTGCTGCTGCTGCTGCCGTGGGTGGTATCCACCTCTGAGCCACAGCGGTCCCGGGCCTCGGGTCGCCGACTCCCCCTGCAGCCATGCTTACTCGTCCTCTACCCTTCTCCAGGTCCTGGTCCATCCACGATCTTCCTGCCGCTGAGGTCCATTCCCCGGAAATGGATGGACTGGAAGATTGCCGCCGATATCGCGAACGACTGTCCACGTGGCAGCGACACATAGAATTCGGGGAGATTCCAAGTGCTGCCATCGCCATTGCCCCCTCTTCATCAGCCTCGGCGCACTGGCAGACTCTGCAGACCTCTTCCTCCTGTCCAGATCCCGCTGGTCCACATACCGTACCCGAAGCGGCCGCCTCCTCCTCGTCGTACGCTGTAGTCGACTYTTGGTTCGTACCCGCCGCTACAGCCGCCGCCGCCGCCGCCACGGCCGGATCGTCGCTACCCTCCGCCGCCGCCGGATTTCCCGCCCCCCCAACGACATCCTCCTTCGATGTCGGTGCACAACCATCACCGTCCGTCGCTTGCATTCCCGTTGACGTCAACGAAGCTCGACGGCTCGCGATCGCCAGCGGCCTTCCCTCCTCCAGGATCAACTCCTCGTCTTCGTTCGACGACCTCGAACGGCCGATCCCGATCCCGATCCCGCCAGCACCTTCATCGCCAGCGCCTCGGAGAGGAGAAGAAGAAGACGGACCGTAGCACATCGCTGCATCGGGCTCGGGCTCGGGATCGGGATCGGGATCGGATCGGACTCTTACAATCGTCACCGAGTGGCCATAGTCAGCAGCAACGGTCGCTGACATCGGCGTTTTGTGTCTCTTCGAGAGAGAGGTCACCTCCGTCTCCTCCTCCTCCTCCTCCTCCTCCACACGAGGATTTCCTCTCCCATCAACCGCGCGAGCATGGGCGATCCTGTCCCCCATCGTCCATGTTGACGACACCGTAATACTCGCACTCTGGTCCCTTCCCTCCGCTGCGGCGGCCAGCTTCCCCCCTCTCCCCGACAGGCAGCGGTGATCTGAGAGCCCTCCATCTCCCACGCTACTTCCCACTTCAAGAGACATTCTCTCTCCTCTTCCTTCTCTCTGGGCCTCCTTCCCGCTGGTTTCACTCGCACCGTCACTCTCGACATCGCTGATCGCGCATGTGGCACAGCCTCTGCTATCTGACATCCCCGTTGTGATCGCCGGCTCAGCTTGGCCAAACAGCGAGATGCCAGCTCGGCTAATGCAAATAGACGCGCTGCCCATGGGCTTCTTGCAGCACATCAAGTCATCGGCATCCGCCACACAGATGCGAGTTTCCTCCCTCCTCTCCGCACCTCCCTTTTGCTGCCTCAACCTATCGTCCTCAGTGTCGCGTCCAAGTACACGCTCCTTGCTTCCGCTGACGTTCCCAACCGCCGCCATAGCTCTTCCACCTCGTACACTGTCATCACCCGCCTTCTCTCTCTCTCTCTCTCTCTCTCTCTCTCTCTCTCTCTCTCTCTCTCTCTCTCTCTCTC